CCCTGAATATTATCTAAGCCTTAAACTAGGACTCATTCCAAAGCCATTCTTTTAGTGGGGATACTAAGAAAATGCTGGGTTTTTATACTAAGAAGTGACCAATATTAAATTTCTTTCTAGTGAGAATGAAGTTTATAAAGCAAAATATCAGAATTTTCATTTAAGTAACTCTATACACTAGTTCTAAATTTTACTATACTATTAGCAATAGATAAACAGCAAAAGTTTTTTACACTGAATTTCACTGAAATTTAAATATTATAAACACTTTGAACATACAAACACATTGAATATATAAGGAAATGAATACATTAGCTACAGTGCAATTTGTCAGATTTCAACAGTAGTTAATTTGAGGACTAGTGTCATGGTTTATGTCAGTGGCCCCCAAGCCTCATGCAGTTATGGATACAACCAAGTCTAATGTTTGTGATTGGTTCATTGTCTAGCACTTGGATTGGTGGTGTAAGTGTTTCAGCTGCCCAGGGGTGGAGCCAGGATATGACATATCTGTTGGAAGAAGGTGTGTCTCTCTCTGTCTTGTGGGTTCATACTTTTGCTGTTTGCAGCGGCCATGAAGGGCTACCCTGCCATGCCACACTGCCTTGGAACCAACTGAGTATGAACTGAAACCTCTAAGAATTGTAAGAAATAAACTTTTCCCTCCCTAACTTTGGGCATCAGGTATTTTGTCTCAACAAGTACAAAGTAACTAAGATAAATAGTGCATCTCAGTCCGACATCTCTATAGTAAATGACAAAAAAGATTGCTGACTTGTCTTTCCAAGATCTTCTGTAGTGGCTAGGAAGGTTCATGGCATAATCTAGAACTTGCCCATCGTCCTTGAACATGTAAAACCAGACTGGGAAAGTTCTTGTCTTTATACTTGCAGAGCTTCCAGGGAGCAAAGATAGGCACAGTGAGATTTCACAGCTGCAGGTCCCTGGGCATGGGACTGAGATGATACTCTTCCACAGAGCAAGGTTCATGTGACTTGCCTGAATTATCCAATTGATATGCTAGAGGTAAAACAACTCAGGAAGCACTGTGTTTATTATCTCTGTGGGCAGTTTATTTGGGCTTCCCCCTCTTTTTACCCACCTGACATTGCAATGGCAAGCAGAAACACCAAAATGAAACCCAAGATTTGGAGACACATTTATTTCCATCCACAAGCATCATTCCCAGAGTAACAGGCTCTGATCTCTAGTGGTCTAGGGCTTTTTTATGGAATAAGCAGACAGGAAGTACAGAGGCAGAACAGCTTGTCCATTGGGGATTGGTTTATACAATGTGCATCATGGTGACAAGCTATACGTTCACAGAGACCAGCCATTTCTAAGAGACCAGAAGCAAATGGAACTGGATCAGGAACTATTACCTGGGCAACTAAGAAACTGAAGTATAAAACTAGACCCATGTCCATCACCATGTACTAAAGTCTAAATGGATCAAAGATCTAAATATTAAACAGAAATACTAAATCTGTTGGAAGACAAAGTAGGTAAAAAGCTTAAAGACACCGGTGTAGGTAGAGAATTCATGAACAAGAATCAAATCGCGTGGGAAATACTTCCCAGAATCAGTAACTGGGATCATGTCTTATTAAAGAGTTTCTGCATGTTAGAAGAAATCTCCAGCATACTGAAAATAAAACCCATAAATTGGGGGAAAAAAATCTTAATGAAAGGTCCCTCAGACAAAGGACTTCTGTCTAGAACACATAAAGAATTTTAAAAAATCAGGCCCCCAAATTCAAAGACCTAATCTAAAAATGGGCATCTGAGATGAATACACATTTCTCAGATGAAGAAATACAAATGGCAAATAAATACATGAAAAAATGTTCAGCATCATTAGTCATTAGGGAAATACAAATTAAAATCACACTGAGATTCCACCTTACTCCAGAAAGAATGGCCAGGATCAAGAAAACTACCAACAACAAATGCTGGAAAGGCTTCAGGGAAAAAGAAACTCTTCTGCCCTGTTGGTGGGAGTGTAGACTGGTGCAACCACTGTGGAGTCTAGATATTCCTCAAAAAGCTGGAATTGGACTAACTATTCCACTTCTGGGCATATATATTCCCAGAAGAACTGAAAAACATCATACCACAGTGATGTATGTGCACCCATATTTATAGCAACACAATTTGTAATAGCCAGATCTTAGAAACAACCTAAGTGTCCATCAACTGAGGAGTGGATAAAAAACATGTGGTATTTTTATACAAGGAAGTACTACTCAGCTATCAAGAATTATCACATTGAGATATTTATAAATAAATGGATGCCACTTGAGACCATATTCATAAGTGAAATAAATCAAACTCATATGTATAAATACCATAAAGTCTCCCTAGTGTTAGAAATGGTAAGAGTACATGAGATTTTATGGTAATCATGGTTCCCTATTACATTGCTTTGAAGTCTTACAATGTTTTCATTCATTGGTTGGAATGGTTTTATTCTGTTTTGTTTGATTTTATTACCTGTGATGGTGTGAACAACTACTTTGAAGAAAACAAGACATTATGGCAGCCTTGCTGACTTATCATCTTGCTTTGAAGTCCTACCATGCTTTTGTTCTCCTATTTCCATTGGTTCTATCATGTTGTGTCTTAATTGGATTTTAATATGCATGATAGTATAAACAAATTTTTATGGAAAATGAGATATTATAGTAGCCATTGTTCATTTTCTGTTCTTTGGTTTTGAATGTCCTATAATACTTTTGTTCTCTTGAATGGTTTTATATTATTTTGTTATGTCTGATATTATTGTGTGTGAAGGTATGCTCAACTATTTCAAAGAAAAGAGACATTATGGTAGCTACTGTTAATATCCGGTTGTCTTGTGAAGTGCTGTGTTGCTTACATTGTTCTGTTCTGATTTGCTTTTTTATATTCTCTTTTGTTTTATTCTCTTTAAAATAAAATTTTAAAAAAAGAAAGAAACTTAAGTGTACTGGTATGGTGGGGGGCATTTTCTGTTATAACATATCTAAATGCTTTAATCCAAAATGAGATTTTTGTTCTAAATTTTAATAGTACATATATCTTAAAAGAATAAGACAAGAGTATATACATAAATAAACAAATGGATGAAGGAAATGTGATATCTATACACAATGAAACACTACTCAGCTATGAAGTATAAATTCAAGACAGTTGTAAGAAAATGAATACACCTAGAAAATATAATGTTAAGTGAAATAAATCAGACACACACGCTTAAATACCATGTGCTATCTCTCATTGGAGTATGGCATACTACAAACAAAGAACAAAATAAAGGACGAATAGAAGGAGACCAGGATATAGATCTGTTGCAGATGGGAAGGGACCCAGAAGACCAAGGGTGAGAGAGTGGGGAGGAGAAGGGAAAGTAAAAGGTTTAAGATGTGCTGTGTCTATTTACCAAATACCCCACTGATATTACATATCATAACCATGAACTATAACAAGAATGGAAAAGGGGACTTAGAGATGGAGGGAGGGAGGTGGAAGAGAAGGGGAAGGGGGTTAAAAAAGAATATAGCTGTGCTACGTACATGTACCTACTCCCTCAGATGAAGGTAAATTTCATATACTGAAAGCATGTACTCATTTTTTCTGAGTACATAAATAGACTGCATATGGAAACACACATCTGTAATCCTACCTACTCAGGAGGTTGAGGCAGAAGGATCACATGTTCGAGGCCAGCCAAGGTAACTTAGCAAGACCTTGCCTCAAAATAAAAAGAGCTGGAGATGTAGTCCAGTGCTCTCTGGTTCAGTCCCCAGCACTGGCAAAAAAAAAAAAAAAAAAGTTCAAAAAATATCAAATAACACAGATCAAGAAGGAAGGAAGGAAGAAAGGAAGCAGAGAGAGAGAGAGAGAGAGAAGGCAGACAAACCAGAAAGCTTTTGTTCAGCTTGCTGCCTCCTGCCTACCCCTTCAGTTCTGCCTTCCCACAGGTGAGCACAGCTAACAATTTGGTGCCTATCTTTCCAAATTGTATACTTACAGAGATACCAATGGAGACTAAGAACTAAACAATGAACTACATTGGAACTCTGTGCCACTTTCAAAACAAGAATATAGTTCATCCGTTACACATCCGAGAAATTCCTGCCTACCAGAATTTTAGCATCTCCCACAGCATCTCTGACTTTCTATATTCATGTTTTCTTCTGTGGGCCCAGACACAAGCTAGATGTCAATGTAAGTACCAATGCCACTGTATCTAATGAAATTTGCTTAGAATATGCTAAAATAGTAGTAGAAATGTTTAAGTTTTAAGATATAAAGGACAGTTGCCTCTCAGATAATCAGAGAAACAGAAAAAAAGCCTAGAGCCAAAAGAGTTTGAAAGCTATTGTAAGTAGGAGAGATTTTTAACTTCAGTTCAATTAATCAGGAAATATCTGTTTCATCATCTATATCATGATAAGCGCTTTGGTATGTAAGGTGTGGTCCCTACTTCCAGAGCGTTTGCCATCTCCTGAGAAATCAGCAGTGCAGACAGAATGGAATCAGATAAGATGGGCTTACACAAGAGCCTGGATTTGGCCAAGTAATGAGTGAAATGCTGCCTCCACAGGCTTTGACAGAAAGGAGGTGCCTACCTTTCCAAATTAAGAAATAAGTCTTCCAACTTACTACCACCCAATTTAAGTACTAAGTTTTCACTCCCTTTGTCCTGTGGTTTCAATTCCTTAATCACTGTCCTGGCACAGGCTGGGACGACCTTGCTGTTAAAATGAACTTGTATCCAGCATTCTGTCATCTCCCCATCCCATCCTCTCCAAGTCATTCAGAACACAACCACAAGATTGATTTTTCAAAAGGCACGAAGTGCTTGAAATAGTCTCTGCTTAAACATCAGCACCCAATAGTCTGAACTTTTTAGTGGAAAATTTAAAGCTCTCCCTTAAACTGTGCTAATATCCTTCTAGGCTTGTGTTGTATTTCCTGATAGGAGCTGTCTACTCAGTTGAAATTCCCCTACTCACCATCCTCACAAGCCAGCTCTTGTAGGCCTCCTGTGATTCCCAGCCCCTTGTCACCTTCCTGGTCTCTTCCCTAGCTCCATATCCAAGGACAGTCAGAGAGGCCAGCTCTGCAGCTGGGCAGTCATCCAGCCATGATGTGGACGTGGCAGGGACAGGGTGGGACGGGACATGTGGGAATGCAGAGCAGGGTGGAGACAGGTACAGCAGGAGAGCGTAGTGAGAAATTGGATACTGGTGGGAAAGAGAGCTGAGTCAGAAACAACTCATCATAGAATTTAGGCGGCAAACAGAATTCTTTCCCAATAACTGCTTACTCCACATCTTACAACCTTGTAGTTATTAGTACTTACTTATTTCATACTGCTTGCATAACCTAGGAGCGTGTGTAATTAAGGCGATTTTTCTGTACTCTAAATCATAAATAACAAAGTGGGCCTAACAAAGCATTTTTCTGTAGGAGTTAGAGGTTTTAAACACAATCAAAAACATTGTGGATTTCAAGGCGTTGCTTTCCATCTAAACAATACACATTTAACAAGAACCCTGCATTTCATTACCAGTATGACATGGAGCCTGAGACTCACAGGAATATCTGCAGTCCTGACGTGGGAAATGTGACTGGGCCTTGGCAGAAGTCTGCCTCCTGTCTCTGCTCTGGCTATGCTGCACTTTCTTCTCTGTTGCAGGATCAGAAGCTCAAAATGGAGAGAGAGACAGAGACAGAGACAGAGACAGAGAGAGAGAGACCCAATTGTCTTAGACTCTGGAAAGTCTCAGGGATGAAAACTAGCAGGAAAATCAGATTCCTATGTTCCCTGCTCAGAACCTCCATCTCCAGAAGGAAAATCTAACAAGCAAAAGTACCACTGCAAAAGGTCTGATCACCCAGCAATCTGCTCTGTTCTGCCCCACCCAACACAGTCCTTTTCTTTTCATCTTTGCTCCCACTCCCTAGTCCAAGTCACTCCCCGAAGCTGAAAAAACGGGGCTGTGGGAAAGGCTCAGTGACACAGCCCTTGCTAGCATGTGGCAGCCCTGGACTCAGCCCCCAACACAACGAAAATGAAAATAAAGTCGCCAAAACTTCTGCAATAGCTTTCCTTGTTCCTAAACGCTCGTTTTAATTCTATTACAGTTCTTTCCCCATTCAGCATCCAGAATTCTGTTGAAGTGTAACTTGGCTTATATCCCTTTCTAAAACATCCTAATTTTTTTTTTTTTTGCAGATGTAAAGTACTTAATGTCACTCTTTCTGTATTTGTATAATACAATGTTTACATTTCTTGCAGGAATTGGTACATGTGTATAACAGATCTCATTTCCTTTTTTTATTCTCTTTCCTTTCCTTCCCCCATTCAGATTTTGATTCCTTTTTCTTTCTTTTTGTGTACACGCTTGTAGTAGGTAATGCTTGCATTCTCTGTGTGAAATTGGTACACATCCATGATACATCTTAATTCTTGCTGTCATCCCCCTTCCCTCTCTTCTCCCCCTCCTTTTGACCTCTTTCCCTTTTTAGAAATTTCTACCTCCCTGCTTTCTACCATCTATTATTTATTTTGCTCTCTATTTATACTTCGGGTTTTTCATATAAGAGAAACCACGTGGTATTTAAGCTTGTGTGTCTGATTTACTTAACATTTCGGTCTCAAGGTACATCCATTTTCCTACAAATGACTTAATCTTATTTTTATGGCAGGATAATACTCCAATGTGTGTAAAAACCACATTTTCTTTATCCATTCATCTGTTGATGGACATATAGACCACTTCCAAGATTTAGCCATTATGAGCTAGGCTAGTAAAAACGTCAGTATTATAGGAGAAAATGAAGCGCAAAAGGGCTACACTATAGTTCAGGCTCAAGGGGTGTGATCTGCAGGAGGCATTAAGTCCAAGGCAACAGAGATCCATCCCAGGCACACCTTCCATGTCCCATTAATCAAAGTCGGTGCCGGCTGGTGTAAATAACTTACATAGCCAAGGTCTTTACTGGCGCATAGCAGTAAATCTGGACTCCCCCAAGGGCTGGGAGGCCTAAGCAGCTGAGGGCTACAGAGGGTGTGCAGCAGTGGCTAAGAGCACCTGGGAGCCATAGGAGCAGCTAAGCAGATGAATAAAGGTGCCATAGTCCCACAATTCTGTGTCTCTTTGGGCTACCTGAATCTCAAGTAAACCTTCCCAGTCTGAACTGGTGACCGACAAGAATGCATATATGGTATCATTCTAATATCATGTCTTTAACTCTTTCAGGAAGATACCTAGAAGGGGGATATCTGTGTCAAATGGTACTTCTAGTTTCAGGTTTTTGGAGAAATTCCATACAGATTTTTTAAAGTGGTTATACTAATTTACATTCCCACCAACAGTGTAGAAGAGTTCCTTCTTCCCTGCAGCCTCACCAGTATTTGTTATTATTTGATTTCTTGATGACAATCGTTCTTTCTGGGGTAAGGTGGAATCTCAGTGTTGTTTTAATTTGCACCTCTTCAGTGGCCCCCAGTGGTGTTAGAATTTCATCACGTATTTATTGGCCATTTGTAGTGTAGACATTTCCTCTGAGAAGTGTCCATTAATTTCAGTTGCCATTTTTTGATTTGGTCTTTTATCTTGGGTGGTTTAATTTTTTGTGTGTTCTTTATATATTCTAGGTATTAGTCTTTTGTCTAATGAATAACTGGGATTTTTTTTTCAATTCTATAGGTTGTCTTTTTAAGCTAGTGATTGTTTCTTTTGCTCTTTTGCTGTGCAGAAGCTTTTGCTCTCTTAGAATAACATCCAAGTTTCACATGTCCTTCAAGGGACCACATGACCTAGTCTCTGCCTATCCCTCCACCTTACCTCCTCTGGCTCCTTCTCTTGTTTCTTTCATTCTAGCCCCCTGAACTTCAACTAGAGCTCAAGCATGCTAAACTCATGGCATGTATGGATTTATTTTTGCAGTGGGAGAAAGGACATTGATCAATGAACATCAGTATATAGTTTTTCCTGTTACAGTTTTCACTGTACTTCAACAAACTGGCATTCTGATATGTATATCCTTCTCTCATGGGTCTGGTTGGTATGAATCTGAAGAAAAGATTATATTTCTCAGCCCACAGAGCTAGACTAATGAGACAGACTAATGAAATTCAATCTGTATATTCCACCAAAGTACTACTGCCCCTAACTGGCCTCTACTTTACTACATTTAGTAAGCAATCTTATATACTAATATAGAAATTTTGTTTTATTGTTACTGTACAATCAGCAGAAAATCATTGTTTATTGTATAGTAGGTATTAGGTATACTGGCAGAGAGGTAGAGAGTATCAGTGGCCCTCATTCATGCATTCTCTGTGATTTGAAATTTATTGTCACTTATCAGTGCTTGGTTAACTGAATTTACAGAGAATTAATGAGTTCTCACAACAGAAATAAGACTTAAAAGATTTTTTGCCAAACACTGGAAGAGAGGTTTTTTAAGTTTTTTTTTTTAACTACATTTTCAAGCGGAAGAAAAGTAACAAGAAAGGGACAGAGTTGGTATTTTTCAGATTTCTGGTACGAGATCCTCATCATGTTTATTGAGGTGTAAAGATAATGATACTCTATAAGATCTGATAAGATCAGCCAAATCAAGGAAAATCTGAAGGAGGCCTATCTGCAGTATGAATCTCCTTCCACTGTTATTTATAATTAACTATGACCTACATGTATATCTGCCTTAAAATTGGCCAATAACAGAGTGTAACATCTTAATTAATGTGACAAACCAGTTCGTTTCTTTAAAAGAATTTCTATCTTGGGATTACTACATAACATAGTTTATGTATTAACATACAAATAATAATAACATAATTATGATATAGTGCCACTATATGTAATATATATGTGTATATATATAATTTATGTGCATGTTCAAAGATTTTAATAGTAACCTTAAACTGGGCGTGGTAGTACACACTTGTAATTGCAGCTGCCAAAGGCAAGAGAATCACAAGTTCCACCCTAGTCCCAGCAATTTAGGGGCCCTGATTCAAAATGAAAAATACAAAGGGCAAGAGACATAGTTCAGCGCTAAGGTTTTGGACTCAACTCCCAGCATTGCAAAATAAAATATATAAAAAGACTACCAGATTAAAGATGGCATTTGGAAGTGCTCTGACCTCATTATCGTCAAGAGATTGAAGACTAACCTCACTATTTCATCATATTCTTTTATATACTTGCAAGTGGATTATTAATAACTACTTATATATCTAGAGCACCAGGTTGTTGTGAATGTGAGAGATTTGGAGGCAACACTGAGTGGAGCTGCAGAGATGGACTGCATGGAAGAGTCTGCCTTAGTCGCTGCTGACCGCACCCTGGGGCGAGGCCGTTTACCTACTGGGCCTCAGTTTCCTCCACTGCAATGAGACAGTGATATTAGTCTTTCCGCACAGGGCCATTTTCAGGACTAAATGAGCTTATAAACACATGATTGTAGACCAGTGCCTTACATTTAGTAAACATTTCTAAATGCTAACTTATACTAACCTGGCTTTGGTTACATTTGAAAAAACAAACAAAAAATAAAACTAACCACACCCTCGACCATCCCTGCTAGCAGCAGAGCTCAGTACACTGCAATCTCCAAGGTCCAGCTGGATAAACTTGTGGAGTAAGAGAAAGACTTTCAGTGTTCAGCGTCACAATATTTTTGCTAAATAGTGTTGAGAACAACACACTGCCACGAAGTTAAGCAATTACTGGTAAAGTATAGGAAAATATTAAATCTCTTTATAAGTGTTTACATAATTCATTTTGGATCTTTTAAAGTGATTTTAAAAACAGGATATTTCAAATTGTAACAGAAAATGCCCCTCTTCCCCTCCCCCCCAACTAGTATACTTCAGTTTCTTAGTTGCCCGGTTAGCAATTCCTGTTCCAGTTCTGGTTGCTTCTGGTCTCTTAGAAACAACTGGTCACTGTGATGCATAGCTGGTCACTATGATACACATTGTATAAACCAATCCCTAGGGGCTGGGGATTTAGCTCAGCGGCATAAGCACCTGCCTTGAAAGTGCATGGTCCCTGAGTTTGATCCCTGGTACTGGTAAAAAAAAAAAAAAATCATAATTGACAAGCTGTTCTGCCTCTGCACTTCCTCCTTGTTTATCCAATATAATCCTCAGACCACCAGAAATCGGGGCCTGATATTTTGGGAGTGAAACCAATCAGCACCCATCAATGTAAATAAATCTGCCTTTTAAATCCTGCAAAATGACAGTGCTCTGAAACAGACTATAAACACTTATGGTGAAATGGAATGATTTACGAAGAAAAGAACTTTACCCCCTGGAATGAGCACATATATTTTTTAAGTTGTCTTAATATTTGGAAGAGGGAGAAGGTATCAATTTCCCAATATAATCCTGCTTTCAGATTATATAATGCCATCCCTTATTGAAGACACTCTATGTCAAATGCTTTCCATTATGACCTTTTTTATTTCTCTTAAAAAGATTTTAATTCAGGAGGCTGAGGCACAAGAATCACCATGAGTTCAAGGCCAGCCTGAGTTAGATGGTGAGTTCAAGGCCAACTTGAACTACATAGTGAGATTCTGTCTCACAAAATCAAAACAAGATATTAACATGGATATGCTAAAAGATGCAGAAAGAAGATAAAATAATCTAGACCCATACATTCTTTTACTAATATTTCCATATTTTCATTTTTATGAATAATTTAAAAATATATCAAAGTTGTACCTCAAATATATCCCTATGCATGCTAAAACTAGACTTTTAAAAATGGCATAATGCCATTGTTATACCTCAGTCCAAATTTGTTCAATTGATCACCAAATATCTTTTATATCTGGTTTATTAAACCAGAATCAGCAAGAAGACACCATTTTTACTGTGTCTTATTTCTTTTAAGCAAGAGCAGTCCAGTTTTGCTCTCTTCCTTTTCCCTTTTCTCTCTTTTCCCTCTCTCCCTCCTTCTTTCTTCCCCTCTCTTTCCCTTCCTCATCTCTCCCTGTCTTACACACTGACTTATTTAAGAGACTGGGCCATTTGTTCTGGGTTTCCCTGATTATTTCCTCTTGGTGTCATTTTGCTCCTCCATTCTAGTAATCTCTGAGGCGGGAAGACAGATTCAAAGCCTCATGTTGAGGTTCTAGATTTTTGGAGGCAATATTTCAGTAAAATGCCAGAGCTTCATATGATACCAAGAAACAATGTCAGGCTGGTCTGCTTTTAGTGATGATCAGATTGATCACCTGGGATAAAGCAGGTGGGAGAAGGCTTCCCCTTTGGAGTTTGCAGCTCTCCTTGACAACCAGCAGTAGCCCCTGAGGGATAATTTGCCACTCTAAATACCAAATTCCCTTTCTCTCTTTCACCAGATTTCATTGATGATTCTGGTATAAACCAGTTATTTCGTTAGTAACTGCAAAATTCCATTTACACTGTTTAGCTACTAGCATAATTTTGTAAAACAATTGCTTTCTCATCAACAGGTGTTAGTTCTTAAACTACCACTTTTCAGAAAAACATTGATGCGTAATAATTACCACTAAGAGTGTGCGGCAAAGAGTGTGCTTCTCTCTCTGACTTAATTTGGCTTACTTTGGGGGTAGGTGAGCTGTTTTGTTTTGTTTTGTTTTTTGGAGATAGGTTCTCCCTGTTATGGAGGCAGGCCTCCCACTCTGGAGATCCTCCTGCCTCAGCCTCCCTAGTGATAGATTTTTAGGCATGTGCCTTCACGAACAAAGTAGGGAGGTGACGTTTTGCATTTTCATCATATTGCAGTTTGTAGTCTTACGTTTTAATGCACACTTGCCTTATTTTTTCAGTGGGCAGCCCCTTATGTGAGCTCCTGTGTCTCGATATTTTCTAGGTGAAATCCTTGACTTCTGGCCGAGACTGTCCGAAGGGTCTTAATTCGTTGTCCCCAGCTTCTGCTCAGGCATCAGCCATTTCTTCAAAGGGCCGTGATTCCTTTTATTGAGGAGTGACAGGGATCAACATCTGAGTGCCAGGGACTGCCACTGCTTCTCGACTTTGCGTTCATACCGCTATTTTAATTTTAGAATTAGCAATATAGAGATTCTCGCTCCTGACCATACCTTAATTTATGATCCCTATTTAAAGGGAGCACACAGCAGGCAGAGGAGCCCGAGGAAGCGTGGCGGACCGGGATTTAGGCCAGGGTGCTACTTCGCGGGAAAGGGGCCCAGGCGAAGGGGCCTTACTAAAGGTGGCAAGTTGATGATCCGCCCTGGCATGGCGGGAACGTGAGCTGACAGCTCCATCCGGCGCAGCCTGTAACCCAAAAGACAGGATAGGGACAGGCTGCGGGTGATGGAATCGCCAGCTCACGGGCCGGGACCACCGTTCCGACCAGAAGTATAAAAGAAGCAACCACTACAGCTCAGCAAACTTTAGCCGGCGCGAGGGGGGGGAGGGTCTCAACACTGCCAATCAGAGAGAGCTTTCAGCAGGAGGGCGGGACAGCAAACAAGCGTGTCCAATGAGCAATTAGGCTCGGGTCGCCTGAGGCCAAAACCCCAAGGGAGGGCGGAAAAGAGGGTTTGGGAATTGACCAATCAAATGGGACGACTCACACAGGCCGCCAAACAGCCAATCAGAAGAGAGCGTTCGCTCAGCGTGTCCGGCCCCCTCCGAGACTTTTTCTTAGCCCAAGGCGGCTGCGGTGGCGCAGTCGCAGTTACTGTGTCGGTGTTCTCCACCTCGTTGGCCACAGACGCTTTTGGAGCAGTGTGAACTTGAGGTAAAACATGGCGAACTCTGACTGCGATGGCCATGCGGGCGAGGACGGGGAGAATTTCCTGTACTTCGCGTACGGCAGCAACCTGCTGACGGAGAGAATCCATCACCGAAACCCCTCGGCCACGTTCTACGGCGTGGCCCGCTTGCAGGTCAGTGTCTCCGCTGGACACCGCTGTGCACACACCGGACCGGGATCCCCAGGACGCAGTGTCAGGATGCCTGTGGTGCCCTGGCTTCCGCTCCTGGGACCGTGTGCCCGGCAGCGGTACCCTCTCTGCTGCCCCTCCTCCGCACGCGACTTTGCACCTGCTGTGGCTCCCTGCATAGCTTCGCGCCAGCTGCCTTGTCCTCTAACTTAGGGGCACCTTCCGGAATGCACGCAGTGGGTACTTCTGAGAGACTTTGTTCTGTGCACACCTTTGATAGAGGACTTGTCACCTAGCATTGTAGTTGTGATTACCTGCCTTTCTCTCCTGATCAGAGGTCCAGAAAGCTAGACCCGTGTCTTCATAGTGATCAAGTGGCTGAACTTGAACCAACCTGGTAAATCATTACTCTTCGGGACAGTATATTAATTTTGTACAGGTTCTTCTTGCTCTTAACTCTCGGGTGATGATGGCGTTGCTGCTGCTTTGTGGACCTCTCAGGCTATAGAAGAGTTGTGCGGACAATGTACCTTTTCATAGCAGTGAGCTAAACAAGCATTATGTCTGCTAAACGCGTCAGAGTTCTTAGTTGCAAGCGACAGAAAGTGGCTGATTTAAGCAAAAAAGAAAAAAAGAGGGGGGGCGGTTTCAAAGGAAAGGCTGTTAGAGCATTCCCAGAATGACCAGAGAGGCAAGAGTACAAAGCTGACAGAACAGGCAAGCATAAAGAGTGATACGGTCTCCCAGAGTACATCACAGTGGCTCTGTACCAGCCCCAAAGCCATTGCTAAACGGGACTTGGTGAGCATGGGTGCTGTGTCTTATACGGCCAACTCCATCTTTTCTGAACTCTGTCTGCTGCAGTACTGTATCCCCAAAGTTCCTGAAACCCTTGTGTGTCATCCTCCTCCAAAATTGACCTCTCTAATCCCAGCTGCTAATCCAAAGCCCCAGGTGGTCATCCTCACTAGCTAAGTCTTGCTCTATAGCCATGGTCTGGTGGCAAACAAATCTGAAAGAAAAAACTTCTGACTTTTGGAAGGCTTCAAAAATGGGAGTCAGGCTCCAATACTCCCTTTCTCCAAACTCAGGGAATGTCCAAATTGTAGGAAGGAAGTTCAGATGCTTACAGTCAGAGCAGGGAGAAGAGATGCAAAACAAATGATTATTCAGTTTCTAGTGTGGTCAGTCGTAAAAAGGAGATACGTAAAGTGCCGCAGAGTATGGCGAGAGGACCTGACCTAATCACGATGCCCAAGAAAGCCCCCCTTGAAATTGGGGCTTTTTAGACTTGAGCAACTGAGGAGGTGAGGTGCAAACAGACTGAAGAAAGCAATAAGCTAAGGACCCGAGCAAAGAGGAAGCTGAATCATTTGGCCAGTATGACTGGAAGGAATGTAGTAAGGGAGATGTGGCATGAGAACTACAGAGACCAGAAGTCAGATTTACATCTTTTAAAGAACATTCTTGTTTCCATGGAAAATGGATTAGAAGGGGGACAGCAGTAAACATGGGCAGATCAGGAAGTTTGTGCAGCAGTTCATGCCAAAGATAATAAATGGCATCTTAGACTAGGGTGGTGGCAGGACAAGACGGATGAATTGGAGAGATAATAAGGAGATAACATTGTTAAAGTTTAATGCCAGGGTATGAAGGGAAAAGATATCAAAGATGATTCAAGGTTTTTCACAAGGCAGATAACGATGTTTGCAGAGAGAAGAGGAAAATCAAATTTAGGTGCGAAAAACCCTAAGTTCAGTTTAAACATACTAAAGTTGAGACACTTGCTAAACGGCCAAGTAGACAGAAAATGTTAGTGAGCACTGGTTAGATACGAGTATTTGCTATGTGCTAGACCTTGTTCTAAGCCCTTTTGAAACTCACAAGAGAAGTGAGCTGGGTTTAATTTAATGATGGAAGCATTAAGATGGTATTTGAAGCCACTGAAGGGAAGGAGATTGTCTTGGGTAAATTATGGAATGGACAGAGAGAGGGGCCTAGGGTGAAACTCCAGTATTTAAAGATTAGGTACCAGAAGAGGAATTGGGAATGGAAACTGAGATAAAGGAACAGCCTGACAATGAGAAAAGAGGGTGGAGCAGGACTTGCCGTATCACAAGCAGCTGAAACTCTGGAGCAAGATAGGAAATGAGAACTGTCTGTTGGCTTTAGCAGTAACAACCAGTCCCTAGTGTGGGTTGTAACTTTTGATTGGATCTGTACATGTCCTGCCAGGCATGCCTAGTGCTAGAAGAACATCTAGATGCTACTGAAAGACCTGCTCACTTGAACAACTTTCATCCTGAAAAATATGCCAGGTTTTTGAGAAGATACAGGACATAGGGGTAAAATATCAACCTGAAAAGGAAGTTAGAGGTATCATCCATTTCAAGGGAACTAAGCTATGGAAAGACAAAAAAGAGATCTTCTTAAACCAGACAAACCAAGTAAGAATTTTTAATGCTCCCTAGGACTCTCATTTGGTTCCCACCTCTGAGGGAAGACACAAAACTGGGAACAGCTCCATTGCTTATTAGCTATGAGACCTTAGGCAAGTGGCTTAATCTTTCTAAAGCATTGCTTCTTGCTGTTAAATGCGTATAATAAAATTGCTGCAGGATAAAAGGGAGGTAGTCCACATAAAGCTAATAGCATAGTGATAACACCCAGTAATTTTCAGCATTGGCTACCCTCGGTTATTATAGATAAATTGTACAATTTATGAATATTATTAGAGTAATGCTTGTAAGTATTCAAATCACCCTCAGATGTCAGTTCCCTTATGGCAAATATGGTAATACATGCTGGTAGGATTGTAGACACAAAAGGTTTGTCTCTAAAAAATAACCTGTTCACCGTAGGTAGACGGGGAAATAATGTACAAAAATGAAGGCAGTTATGTTAAGTTCTGTTTGCCTTTTTTTTAAATGTTAGGATGCCTGTATATACAGTATATGTTTAATTTTTAAAAGGATATATAAAAAAACATATTCCTTGAGATCTGCGTCCTTTAAGGTTATCTATTTATCTTTGTCTTTTCCATAGCTCCTTACAGAGAACTCAAAGTTAATTGAATGTTTTAATTGTATGCGGCTCAAAGTGAATCCTTTTCATTTTGAAGAGGAAAATCTGGATTCAAATGGATATTGATCATATCATTTTGATTTCTTTTGTAGGATTTTAAGCTTGACTTCGGCAATTTCCAAGGCAAAACAAGTCAAAGGTGGCATGGAGGTATAGCTACCATTTTTCAAAGTCCTGGAGATGAAGTGTGGGGAGTAGTATGGAAATTGAACAAAAGCAATTTAAATTCTCTGGATGAGTAGGTGGCTTCTAATTTTAAGTTTAAAAAAAACTAATTCAGGAAATCAAATATATGTAAGGATGTGTGTATTTGTGTGTTCGTCTCACAAGATCATGCACTAAAGATATACTGGATTATACTTAGAATCAACACAAAGTGTATAATAATGTTCATTAGAAAGTGTAGAAAGTGGGTCACTATGATTGAGACTTGGATGTAAAAAGATAACAGGACTTATTTTTTGTTCTGCTAACTTGTCTTTCCTAAAAATTTCTGTTTCATATTGTGAGAAGGCATGAAGATTTTTGTAATTGTTAAATATTTGTAGTGATTTCAAAAGGACATTGATTCAGTTTTTAAAAACAATTCTTTAAAATTGCAATTGAATCAGCCAGTGTGTAATAATTCGTAAAAGCATTACCGACAACATTGTTGGTGACTAGAATTGTCGCAGTTGTATGGCAGAGCATTCAGTAAAAATAAAATGGGCAATAGACAAGAGTAGGCCTTGAGAAGAACTTGTTAACCTAACAGCTTTGAAGCTGTGCCTTTCTGATGACAGTGAGCCTTCTCTGCTCTCTCTGGGTGGATGTAACTCCATGTCAGATCAGTTAGTCCATTTTTTGTAGCCTAAAGAACTAACAATGTTTTAGGTCTATAAAGTGGAAATAAATACACTGAAGCTTGTTTCTAGACAAGATACAGAGATATGTTACAGTATACCAACTGCTCTTGTCATTCAGTATCTGTTTAGGACCCCAAGGATACCAGAACCATGAATGCACAAGTCCTCTATATATTGGTGTGGTATTGCATAGGACCTATATCCTCCTATTTAATTTAAATCATCTGTATTACTTAAACTATCTAGTATCATATAAATGTTGTGACACTGTATTTACTGTTTAGACCCAGTTTGTTTGTTTGTTTGTCTGTGTGTTTTTAATGTTTTCAATCCAAGTTTGGTTGAATCTGCAGAGGAAAAACCCTGGAATCCAAAGGGCCAATTATGAAATTAAGCTTCAGGCTAATTGAAAGGCCAACCTTATTTTAATCTGGTGAGATTTGTACGTTCTACTGTATTCCAAACTACACAGGGAGCAAATACTTCCTTGTAGATAATTAAATGGTTAATCCTGTGCCCAGTTTGATTAAAGCCCTCACCTAGTGAAGCAAGTTACCTAAGTCATGTTTGGTTACAATTTGGCTGTTCTGATTTCAGGCAAGAAGGAGTTGAAAGTGGAGTATATGTCGTAATAGAAGTTAAAGTTTCAACTCAAGAAGGGAAACAATTAACTTGTCGAAGTTATCTGATGACAAATTATGAGAGTGCTCCACCATCACCACAATATAAAAAGGTAACTGCTTTTGAATTTTTACTGAGGCAAACTAAAGAATACTTTGTTTTTTAAAAAGTTTTGTGGTGAGACATGGAGGCACTTGCCTGTAATCCCAGCACTCTGGGAGGCTTAAGCAAGGAAGATTGCAAGTTTGGGCCCAGCCTGGGCAGTTTAGTGATTTGGTGAGACCTGGTCTCAGAATAAATTTTAAAAATGAAGGAGGACCATGCTGTGGATATTGCTCAGCATGAAGGACCCCGGTTCAATTCAAAAAGTAATTCAAAAGGTTATGTGTGTTTTAAATTGCACAAGAAAATCTTTTTTTTTTTTTAATCGAAAAGGTTTCATTAAGTCACTAAATTGCCCAGGGTAGCTTCCAGTTCCCTTGCATCAGCCTCCCTGCAGAAGGTAAAATGTGGATTAGAGACTCCGCCATCCCTTTTCAAAAACCTAAGCTTAGATGCTTGCTGGCCAGCACAATCGGGACATGGCATGTACAGGGGAGCCATTCCTGAACCTTCTCTGGAGAGGTCTAGGGTAGGGCCTCGAGTAACGAGTCTGGCCTGAGTCTTGGGGTACCTCTGAACACACTTACTGTACCATGTACTGCCACACAGCTGCTGGAGGTCAGAGCAAAAGTAAGCAGTGGGTCTGAAACCAAAGCTGCTCCCACTACCTATCAGCTTTCAGTTTCTCTGAAGAATGATTTTTTTTTCTTTACAGGTCCTGCAAATTCTATACAATATGATACTTTATTTATTTATTTATTTACACTTTTTTGGGTGGTGGTATATGGAATTGAACTCAGAGCCTTTGCACTGAGCTACAGCCATAACCCGTTTTATTTTGTATTATGAGGCAGTCTTGTTTGTTTGTTCGTGTGTTTTGTTTTTTGGTACTGGAGATTGAACTCATGACCTTGTGCTTGCCAGGCAGGGGCTTGTGCCACTAAGCTATATCGCCAGGATGAAACAGAGTCTTGCTAAATCACTAGATTGCCTAAGCTGGATTTGAACTTGCACTTGTCCTGTCTCAGCCTCCCAGAGTGCATGGATTACATGCACTCCATTTTCACAGGTACAGTAAGGATAATCAAAACACCTATATCTTAGAATTGCTTTGAGGATTAAATGAGTCTGTGTGTATATAGTAAGCTTAGGTGTGTGCCAACATGCCTGCCCCAATGCATTTTTACCTGCATATAAAATTGTATTTGAGTAAAATTGATATTTCATGAATATACTTCAAGTGGATTTGAAAATTCCCATGCATTCATGCTCAGTGTGACAAAAATGACTGCAACTCAGTTTTGTTCTGCAGATTACCCTCTAGTGACCTGAAAGCTAATATCTCAGACTTTGCAATGCAGATAAAGTTGCAGGTGTACTAAATTAAATTGTGTTCCTAACTGAAAGGGTGTTTATTTTAACCATTTCTAGGTTATTTGCCTGGGTGCAAAAGAAAATGGTTTGCCACTGGAGTATCAAGAGAAGTTAAAAGCAATAGAACCAAATGACTATAAAGGGAAAGTCTCAGAAGAAATGGAAGAAATTATCAACCAGGAAGAACAAAAGCTCTGTAGAACATGACAGAATATGCCTAAGGATATTCTGTCTTCATGCTAATATAAAATATTCTTAACATTTGAGAAGAGGGATTTGGGATATCGCCATCTTTATTCTACTTCTAACAGTACTTTGAAGAAGAATGTCACTTGGATGACCTATAGTTTCAGACTATAAAGAGAATCTGGGTTAGGAGTTAGAGTTGTAAAGAGGGGGCTGTGGGGTGCTGGAATACGTGGCAAATGGATGAAGACACAAGCTATTTTATTTATTCTCTTAATTTTTTCTTTTGACCTTAAGGATCTTCTTCCTCTGTGACAAAGGAGGGGTTTGTGGTCTGCTCAATGATGGTGCTGGTGAATTACTCTGCTCTGGGTTTTTATTTTAATCAACCTAGTAAGCAATCTGCTGAGACAGTTCAAAATAAAATTTTGAAAACTGGAAATATTGTTCTTAGAAGAGTAAATGTATTTGTAGTTTAACCTGTTTCTCCTGCTAAAATACTACATTTCAGTACATTGTTTAACTTCACTTATCACAGGGCTGGAAGGGACACAAACTCTGGGGCCATACAGCACAGGATCAGTGTCCGGTCCCACAACGTTCTGAGAATTTAGGTTATCTCAATCTCTGTGCCTCCATTTTGACAGGTACAGTAAGGATAATCAAGACACCTATATCTTAGAATTGCTTTGAGGATTAAATGAGTCTGTATGTGTATAATAAGCTTAGGACAGAGCCTGACACTTCATAACTATTACCAGTAATTACTGTTCTTATTCGAAGAATTGAGTTTGTACAGGTCCATCCTTGGAATAGGCCCATAAAATAAGAGTCAAGATTTTTGACGGGAAGAATGTGTTGGGGAGATACAGTTTAATTTCTGGCTTATCAGGAAACTGACCTTTTAAAAATTTATTTGAGGAATAAACAGAAAAAAGTCAAGAATAAAGCAGTACCGGCTTTCAGAAAAATCTCTCCTGTAGCATACAGTCAGCTGGACCTTCTAAGCTAGCATGAGGACAAACTGGTTACAGGGACCTAAATAAAAGTGTGGTTTTTTTTCTTAGGAGAAAGTCCCCAGAGGCTGCACTGCTGTTCTATAGGGAGGCTGAGTCGTAGGCTCAGGGTAAACTGGGTTTCATAGCTATCAGACCTTTCTGTTTTCCACTGTACCCTGTAGTAATTTAGCTTTTTCCTGGTTTTTAAATCTTCCCAAGACTCAAGTTCATCAGTAACCCAGAAACCAGTAATTGTAATGTAGTGAGCAAGGCTTAGTTTTGCTAAGGTACAAAGAATTTATTATTCTAATAATCTTACTTACTAAACTGACAACTTTCATTAAGGAATTCAGATTGCCAAGAGTAACACGTTAATTTCTTGCCTTTTAACAAAAATCTGAGGATAAAGTGGAAACCAAGACATGTCAAGTAAAGGAAAGTAAGAAAATGCATCACAGCAACCTAAAAGGAAAGTTGGAGAAAGGTTTCTAAACAAAAAGGTAATGATGGAAGAAGAAAGCCTACTACAATATCAAAAGGAAGACTGTGGTGAGAAAAACTACAGATAAATAGACTTGCCTTCTCCTGAGTTTTCTGAATTATGGTTGATCGTTGTAACACTGTCGGTCTGTTCAAGGGGCCCAAGGTAAAAGAACGCATGTACACAAGCTAGCAGCAGCAGCAGCAGCCAGCATGGAGCAGAGCAGAGAGGGCCTGCCTCTTAATAGGGTAATTCTTACACAGGTTGTTAACTCATGTTTACATTCTTACGTTGTTGTAAACAACGCATGCGTGTTCATCTCTGCTAAGTCATGGTTAGAATACTGTAACCCACTGTGCACCTGCCCTTGACAAGTGGGGCCATGTCCTCAGGTGTCTTAGATGCCCCTGAGCTTTGAAACGATCTGAGTGGAACCCCACCGTCTCACCCCCTCAAAGGTTGGAAATGTATAGATGTAACATTTTATAGGTCACTGCACAAGTACCTCCTTGCTTTGTAGTGAACAAATCAAGAACCACGTGGTTTTTGCAAAACAACTTTTTCATTTGAACAGTTTCATCCATAAGCAGCATCAAATCCTAGCACATAAAAGTCAAGGCCTGGGCCATAGGTTAACAAGGGCTTCAACCTGGAAGGATAGGTTTATGGTCCTTACCCCTGGTCAGATGCAATTCCTATCAGCATCCCATACATAATGATAAATTTTTTTTTTGGTCAGATGCTATTCCTAGCAATCAACCATTACAGTGCCTGGTCAAGGCATCTATTAAGTCATTTTCCTGCAAGAGGAGGGGATTAGATCCTAAAACATGATATTCCTCAAAATGGCCCTGCTGCTGCGTACACATGTAGGGAATTTTCTTTATGTGTCACAAGCAATGACACTGAAATTCTGCCCATTGGCTTGACCTGCCTGTTCCATTTTCAAAGCAGAGTACTTTTGTACTGGACTGGACAGTGACTGCAGCCCATTGTGGGGTTGGGCCACAGCCAGACCCATCAGTATATCCAGGATGAGCGAGAGGTCCCTGTTTCCCTTCTGCATAAGGACTAGTGGTCAAGTCCTATAGTTTGTCCTCCCAAGTGGGTCCTGGGCCATGTACATCACAAATCCCAATATTTTTGCCAGTTCAGGGGCCAACAGGCTGACCAAAAAAGAGGCTTGCTGTTAAAAGTATGTCCCCCCCAACATAGGAGAGCGGGGACCTGTGCCACTCCACTCGTAGGACAGGTTGTCCACATACCCAGCCCTCTCTGTCCTGTGATTCCCCACAGGCATGCAAAGCAGCATGCAACGCTGCTGTTTCTCACTCAGGAGATACCAGCTCTTGGCTCCCTTTCACCACTGTGACCAAAACCCAACAGAATGTTTCCGCTTTCCCTGTTCTTGCCATAGGCCCCAGCCAAATCCATTATCATTAAGATAAATGGCGGGTTAGGGTCAATGACTCATAGGACTCATACCTATGCAACAGCCCTCTTTGAGCCCTAAAATGCATCTTTTGCTGTGTCTGTCCAGTCCCACGTTGTGACCCTTTTGATCATCTTGTATGAAGGGCAGAGCAAGGTGGCTAGGAGTGGTACATCCACCAAAAACCTAGCAAGCCCCATGTGCTTGGAATTGGCATAGTGTCATGGGGTCTGGTCTTACCCAACCATACGACATCCAAGAATTTGAGACAAGCCAGTTCTCTAGACCTTGTCTTTGTCCATGGCCCACCCCGTGCCAGCAAAACTTCCTTCAGACTGTGCATGGTAGCTTTCAAATCTGCAAGATAATCAGAGTTTAACATAATATCAATACAAAACAGGGACACAGAGTGTGGGTTGGCCAGAGTAGCCAGGTCCTGGGCCACCAGACCACAAAACAAAGTTGGGTATACCAATCACCTTCTGACAACATCTAGAAGCTCCATGGCCTATGCTCCAGGATAAAGGCAGATGGGTTCTGACTGCCAGTGTCAGGGTGAAACTTCAGTCATTGGCCATGACCTGTCTGATTTGTACACGGGCCATGCAGAGCATTCTGTGCAGGGAGTATCACTCCTGATTTTTCCAATTTCAAGGCAGTCTGTCCCTTTGCTTTGTGACTTCCAAGGAGCCACACAACCCACATGGCCTGTAGGAGAGTCAGCAGTGTGTGGTGTGGATGGCCTCAAACTCCAGTTTTTGGGTTTTTTTGTTTTTGTTTTTGTTTTTTGGTGTTTTCTTTGGTACTGGGAATTGAACTCTAGACCTTGTGTTTGCCAAGCAGGTGCTTATGCTGCTAAGCTATATATCTGACCCTAGGCTCAAGTTTTTAACATGCAAATTCACCACTGGTATTTTCCAAGCATGATGTTCCCAGCACTAGTCAGTATGTCCACCCCCAGTATATATTAGGCAACGGAGAGAACACGCACCATACCAGGTGCAGCAGTAAGCATCTGATACCCACAGTCACGGGTATCACGTGGTAGTGACCTCCGTATCCTGATGTGCAAGTGGTGGGCCCTATAAAATGGTCTGGGTTGTCATATATAGTGTAGACTCAGCTCCAGTATCGCTCAATGCTAGTACACCCTGCATGTATTTTGGGGGACTAGTGAATAGTCAATTTCATATGTGGCCTCTGGCCCTTCAGGACCCACAAGACCCGAGTACATCAACCTGCCTCCTCATTGGGGTAAAAAGAGGCCAGTGTCACTTTTTTCTTCTTCACCAGGGCTGCTTTGCTTTCTGGCCCTGGCCCATTGGCCAGTGTTGCTGCTCATTGTTGCCTCCATGAAGTCAATAACACATCCAAAGGCTTCCCATCTAACTTATCTGTGGTTAGGCCGGCAGCCAGCAGGTCTGTCCAGATCTGGCATCGACCTACTTTCAGGGGCCCCTCGGCCTGCCCTTGAGGGGACAGCCCTGCTCACCCAAGGTTCCCTTTTTTTTCCTTGCAATACAGTTTTTACAGATCTCACCTTACCTTGGCACTTCACTTCCATGTCTCCCAGCCTGGCCAACTCATCCACAGCATCACAGATTGGGCAATCTGTAAAGGGGGCTAGAAGGGCTGCCACTGACCCAAACATGCCAGCTGGCCCACCCACCAGGACAATGTCCTTCATCAGCAGTTCCTCATGCTGGGCTATGTACTCAGTTCCAGCATGCCATCAGCAGTTCCTCATCTGGGCTTTCAGTTCAAACACCATCTGCTGTATGCCCATTTCACATAGCACAGTTATCAAGTCTGTACAGGTTGTTCATTTAGTAGCTTGCTCTGGATTCTCCCAAACCACGAGGAGTCGCTGTCATCAGCCAATTTATCACAGTCTGATTATTTGCCTCTGCACATCCTGCAAAACCTGTCCCATAGAGGAGGTGCTGGCTGCACTGGCTACTTAGAACATCTGTTGGGTTTAACTGCTTATCAACCCCATCATCCCACAGCCACAGCAGCTCTGCAGGCCCTGTTTCACCCCGCCCCTTCTTTTACTGTTTTGCAGCTCCCCACAGCTTCATGGTGTATAGGTCATGAATATTGTGTGCTGGGTACAGGTAGGCGGGCCTCCCAGTTCCCCTCCCAAATAGCGGGCCTAGCATGCAAAACCAGGGGATTTTTCCCGTGGGTTTTCTTGAATGTGAAGACTTGTGCTTCTAGAGACATTTCTGGAGGAGGCAGTACTTCGCACGCCTCACAGCCTGGGCTCTGCGGCAGCCAGCCACTCCTCTATCTGCTGCAGCTGCTCCCCTGGCCAGACAAGGCCATGTGCCTCGATGTACCCAGCAGGAGAGAGTGAAAAACAGCCAAACCACCTGCCCTGCTGCTTCACAGAGAGGGGTAAGAATTTTTCTATCACTTTCAAATCTTGAAGACATCCCAGGGCTCCAAAAGACTGTTTCCCAGTCTTGCAGGCCTTTCAAGCTGCCAAAAAGGTGGCTACAGGCAGCCTTGGTGAGGCTGGGGTCACT